GTTTCTCTGTTCTCAGCTACGTGCCCCTCATTCCTTATCTTGCTTGTTGGTTGGCATATTCAATGCAAAAAAAAAAAAATCAGAATCCCCTCCTGCCTTGCGTTTTTCACAGCTGGCATGAGAAGCCCTTCAGTTGTAGATTCCCCATTAAGCCCAAGATGGATGGCTTTCACAAACAGGAAGAAAAGATTTGCTAAGAACTACAAGGCACGGCCTCGTAAATTAAGTGTTTTCCATGAGCCGTGGTGGTAACAGTGGTTAGAATGCATTCCTGCAGGCTACTTCTGCTGACTGCCAGCTGCCAGCAGTTGGGCAGTTCTCACTGGCTCTCACAACCTCCATCCTTCCGAGGTCAGTAAAATGAAGACCCAGATTGTTGGGGGCAATATATTGACACTGTAAACCCCTTAGAGAGGGATGGAAAGCACTGTGAAGTGGTATATAAGTCTAAGTGCTGTTGCTAGTGCTATTCCTCCCTATCCGAAATCTGCACTCTGTAATTTTCCAATCTCTCTTGGGAAGCAGAGCAGTGGTAAAATCCTCTGCAGTTTGCCACCGGTTCGCTGCCCTCGCATGCAAGGTGCATGCCAAATGTGTGCTGCGTGTGCGCATGCAGAGTGCGTGCCAAACACACGCTTCATGCGCAGTGTGCACCAAACCCACGCTGCTGCGCGCGGAAAAAGGATGCTTAAGAAGGTAAGTAGAACAGCGAGGGGGGGGAACAGCTGTGCCGTGCTATTTAGATTCAGGATTTCCTGCTTTCTAGCGAATATACCCTATTTTTCGGAGTATAAGACGCACCTTTTTCCCCCCTAAAAGGGGGTGAAAATTTAGGTGCATCTTATACACCAAATGTAGCCCCGCCCACCCACTGCCCCCCCCCTTTGGCCTCTGCCTCGCAGCAGTTTACCTCCTTGCAAGCAAACAGCAAGAAAAAACAGCTCCTTTCAGCTTCAGCACAGCCTAATTAGCACAAGTTGATTGGCTCCGCCTCCCGACTCTCAGCTGATTTGCTCTCAGCTGTTTTGCGCAGGGCTCTGCTGCTTGCTGCAAGGAAAAAGATTGCTGGAGCAGATTTTTTTTTCCCCTTGTGCTAATCAAGCTATGCTGAAAACGAAAATGAAAGTAAAGCTGTTTGCTGTTTGCTGCAAGGAGGCAAAATTGCTCAGAGGCAAAGGGAGATTTCTTTTTCTTCTTTTCCTCACCAAAAAAGGTAGGTGCGTCTTATACCCTGAAAAATACAGTAAATCGTGCGGCACAGCTGATTGCCAGAAATATCGGTTCAGACCAACCAGTAGCTTTTTTTTATTATTATTGGTTTGCCGAACTGGTAGATTTTGTCACTACCGGATCACTTGAACCGGTGCGACCGGTAGGATTTCACCACTGAAGCAGAGTACCTCCAGCTATTGGGATCCTTCTCAGCTATCAGGAGACACTCACCTGTGTGTCAACTTAAGGTTGGAGCTTCCTGGTTGCCTAAACCTCTAGCAAGTCATTCATTCTCTAGTGTTATCATCCTACGGATGGAAAGTGGTTGAGGCTCTATCCAGATTTGTGCTGTCCGCCCTACATGGAAACAGGGCTCAGGGGACTCAATGTCTTTAAACTCAGAATTCGCACCTTTACATATCAAAAAAAATTACAAGAGTGCTTAGCGTTACTATCCACTTGATATTAGAAATTAAATGCAAAGTGGTATCCGGATAGACCTAATAGCTACAATTCTGTTTTTAAACATTTGTGGAAGATGCTACAGGAGAGAGAAATTTGTGACATGAAAGCAAAGGACAGAGCAATCGGCACAAACAGCCCATATTCCTGCATCAGATTCCCTTTCGTATTCCATAGGTAACCCAAGAATGAAAGAGAAGGTACACACTCACACTTATCCTCAAAAAAAATATATCCCTTTTCCACTGCAGAGAGGTCAGGTTTAATTTCACGTAGTGAATTTCTTAGCAATAAAAAGAGGAAGAGAAAGTTCCAGACTGAAGGAGAAGAGTTATGCTTTCGGACAGATTTAAAAAAGGTTTGCAGTCAAGAAGATGCCAGCTGATACTTTTCAGAATGACATCCTTCCTTAGGAACAGAAGAATGAAGGTCCAAAATTAATGGAGGGAAGGAGGGTGTTTCTGAATAAAATATGGAGCAATATAAATGATTAAAAGGTGATAAAAGCAAAACTTTGGGAGGGATTTACAGCGATACCATTCAAATCCATGGAACTCAACTTTTGATTTTTAGACATCTAAATTCCCCAGAACGTGAGAGAATTACACCGTAAATTACAACTGTGCTTGGAAATCAGATTGGCATGAAACTTCCATCATCTCCAAGAGATGCTAAAACATTTTATAACTTCTGACTTCGGATACCTACCAATCATTCTGCAAAAGAATCAGAGAGATGCTAAAGTCATAAGCTTCACATAGAAAAAGCCAATACAGTAAATTCAAAGGAAATTCTCAAAACGGTTCATTTTTAATATATGTATCTGTTTTCTAGGACAGTTGATCATTCTTAATATCAAGTCAAAATATGTAATCCGCTTTGACTTTGCTCTTAAAAGAGGCTGTTGGGAAATTAAAGCACAATAGACCGAACACAGTTGAACAAAATTCACCTGGAATTTTAGATGTCCAATGTTATCTTACTTTGCCAGTGGCTAGATTATTTCATTATTTATTAAGCTATAAAGTGTTCCCCTTCCATACTTTTCAAATGATCGGATAATCCTTCAGTAACCCCACCTATCAGATCCAGTTTGGTGTAATGGTGAAGGCACCAGGCTAGAAACCTAGAAACTTTGACTGTGGAGATTCTCAGTCCTCCAGGTCACGGTTGTCCCAAAGGTGCTTTTTCAAGAGGGGATTGGACTTTCTGGTTTTTCATGGAAGACATTTCACTTCTCATCCAAGAAGCTTCTTCAGCTCTGACGGGATGGTGGGGAATGGAAGAATGGAAATCCAGTCGGAGCTGAAGAAGCTTCTTGGATGAGAAGCGAAACGTCTTCAAAGAAAAACCAGAAAGTCCAGTTGCCTCTTGAAAAAACACCTTTGAGACAAGAGACTTTGAGTTGTAGGACAACTATAGGCATGAAAAACCGGCTGGATGAATTTGGGCCAGTCCTTCCTTCTCTCTCAGCCCAACCGACCTCCCAGAATTGTTCTTGTGGGCAAAACAGAAGGAGGAAAGAGTATTAGGTATGTTCACTGCCTTGAGCTATTTATAATAATACCGTAATAAAGGAGTGGTACAAATAAATTAATTAAACCGTGCAATACTGGGTGATCAGGTGATTATTGTCAATATACAAAAGAAAACAGAAAAGCAAACACAGGATTCTTTCAAGCTCTTTTTTTTCCCTGTAAGAGAACACATGAAGCCCCTTTAAAGAGAAAAAGAAAAAAGAAAAAAAAGGACATTGGCCCAACTATCAACAAATTAAAGGTAACTTTCCTGGAACAGTCAATCCTTTGGCTTAAAAGCATAGCGGTTTTTCCCTGCAGAGCTGTTTATACCTCTGTGGGCCACTGGGGGGCAGTATATGTTATGTCTTAAATGCATGGGGTTATTGCCTACCCTGTTTCCCCGAAAATAAAACATCCCCTGATAATGAGCCCAATCGGGCTTTTGAGCGCATGCGCTAAAATAAGCTTCCCCCCGAAAATAAGCCCTCTCCGAAAATATTTAAACGCAGAGCTGGAAATCAGGTAAGACGGCAGGAGGAGCCCCATCTTGCTCCACGCGCCCCAAAATAACAAGACCTCCCCGAAAATAAGGCCAAGCGCTTATTTCGGGGTTCAAAAAAATATAAGACAGGGTCTTATTTTCGGGGAAACACAGTACTTACTATACAGGTAGTCTTTGAACTTACAGCCATTAATTCATTCAACGACCTTTTGACGTTACAATTGGCACTGAAAAAAGTGACTTTCCACCAGTCCTCGCACTTACGACCATGATAGCATCCCCACAACCCACACAATCAAAATTTGGACCCTTGGCAATCAGCGTACCTTTATGACAGTTGCAGTACACCAGGGTCATGTGATCACCGCATGTGACCTTCCCAGCTGTTTTCTGAGAAGCAAAGTCAATGGGAGAAGCCAGATTTGCTTAACGACCATGTGATTCACTTCACAGCTACAGTGATTCACTTAACAACTGGGGCAAAAATGGTCATAAAATCAGGACTCATTCACTTAACCGCCTTGCCTATCGATGAAAATCCTGTTCCAAAGTGCGGTCATACGTCAAGGACCACCTGCACACTCAAAATGGACTGTTGGATAAGCTATTCATGCTGTATATACCATGTACTGCCCCCTGTGGCTGCTTGGGGCATTACAGGCTCCATAGAGAAAAAAACAAGAGGGCAAAGCAATTCTCCTATATAGCAACACCGTCCCCCTTTGGTTGAATTGGGTTCTGGTAGTTGAAGGGCCAGTAATATAGAGCAGGGGTGGATAGCTAAGGGCAACTTTTATGACCTGTGAACTTCAAACTCCCATAATTCCTGAGCCCGCACAGGAATTCTGGGAGTTGAAGTCCACAGGTCGTAAAGTCATCATAGCTGCTCATCATCCCTGATCAAGGGCAATGGGATGACATGATCTCAGACACTCTCGTCCTCCAATTAGTTCTTAAAAGGAAAGATATCAAAGAATAAGCCACAGGTAATTTTCATAGTCCTCAAAGCAGGGGTGAAATCCAGCAGGTTCTGACAGGTTCTGGAGAACCGGTAACAGAAATGTTGAATAGTTCAGAGAACTGGCAAATACCGCCTCTGGCTGGTCCCAGAGTGGGGTGGGAATGGAGATTTTGCAGTATCCTTCCCCAGGAGTGGGGAGGGAATGGGGATTTTGCAGTATCCTTCCCCCAGGAGTGGGGAGGGAATGGGGATTTTGCAGTATCCTTCCCCCAGGAGTGGGGAGGGAATGGGGATTTTGCAGTATCCTTTCCCTGCCACGCCCACCAAGTGAACGCCCCCAGAACCGGTAGTTAAAAAAAATTGGATTTCACCACTGCCTCGAAGCATTTTGGCATCTAAAGCTCAAATTAGGCCTTGATCTTTAGGCTAATTCAAGAAATTCCAGGAATTTGACAACTGGCCCAAAATCCCAAAATCCGAAGAGTCAACCGAAATTCGAGATGTGTCAAAAACATGAGCCGAGCGGACATAACCGTAAAAGGATCACTTGGTCAGATACTGATTCCTACATGAGGTCATGTTTGTTGAACAGCCTAAAGTAAACAGATACGCTAAATACACAATACAGGGCTTGGCTAATCACCACACCGGCTGTGGATGAAAGAAGTTGTAGTCCAAAATATCTGGAGGGCACCAGGTGGGAGGAGACTGCGAGAGTATGCAGAACAAACCAGTTGAATGCATGGCCTCCCCCCTCCCCCAAAAAACCAGTTGAACGCATGGAGCTCTCCATTCGAGTGTCCTGAACTGGTCAAAATAGCAGCACAAGAGTTATGTCGGAAAAAATAATCTTTCCTTGTGAAATGTGTGTGTGTGTCGGTCACCGAAATCCCACACAAAGCCAGCAGACAAAAGCCGTGTTTTCCAGATGTAAATATTCAGTTCCTGGGCAAGAGGTACTGAAAATGAGGCTCTGGTCCTCAGGAGGACTTCTTATTTATGTTCTTCTCCAGTTGTTCCACAGTGAGCATCTGCAGCCTAATAATAATAATAATAATAATAATAATAATAATAATAATAATAATAAAAAACCATATCAACCATTAGCACCAGTCAATGGAAATTTGTGATGCATTTTTGAATGTTCAGTTGACTGAGTTTCATGTTTAATGAATAAAGTAAATAATAATAATAATAATAATAATAATAATAATAATAATAATAATCCCGATTGTAATTGGAGCCCTTGGAGCAATACCCAAAGGGCTACCCCGCTATTTAGAAATTCTAAAATTGCCAGACTTGAACATTTTGACTCTACAAAAAACCACCTTACTCGGAACAGCTTACATCCTCCGACAATACCTTAACAGTTTCTAGGTCCTTGGTTAGGACTCGAGCTGCTGAGCTATTAACCAGCCTCAAAGGCTGTGAATCTCACTAAAGATTAACCAATAATAATAATAATAATAATCCCGTATCAATCATTAGCACCAGTCAATGGAAATTTGTGATGCATTTTTGAATGTTCAGTTGACTGAGTTTCATGTTCAATGAATAAAGTAAATAATAACAACAACAACAACAACAATAACAACACCATCAGCAAATTGCAGCTTCCTGCAATAACACCAGCGGAATTGCAAAAAACTGTGCTACTTGGAACATCGTACATCTTAAGAAGGTACTTGATTGATACCTAGGATGCTGGCAGCAACCTGTATCAACCATTAGCACCAGTCAAGTGTATTTGTGATGCATTTTTGAATGTTCGGTTGACTGAGTTTCACGTTTAATGAATATAGTAAATAATAATAATAATAATAATAACAACAACAACAACAACAACAACAACAACAACAACAAAGGCTGTGAATCTCACCAAAGATTAACCATAACAACAACAACAATAACAACAACAACAACTATCAAAACTACACATTTATGGATGAAACATGCAACAGTGATACCCATTGTCATCGGGGCACTTGGTACCATATCTAAGAATTTTACAAAACACACCAAGAAATTGCAGCTTCCTGCAATGACAACAGCGGAACTGCAAAAAACTGCGCTACTCGGAACATCCTATATTTTAAGAAGATGCTTGATTGATATCTAGGACGCTGGCAGCAACCCGTATCAACCATTAGCACCAGTCAATGGTATTTGTGGCACATTTTTAAACGTCCAGTTGACTGAGTTTCATGTTTAATGAATAAAAGAGATAATAATAATAATCATGAAAACTACAGTACAACTATGCAGAGTTATTGACCAAGGAAAGGAGAGAAAAAAGTCGTGATGATTTTTAAAAAACTGGCTGATCCAGAACAGGATCAAATAAGAGAATAACAGAATGACAGAGTGGGAAGGGACCTTGGAGGTCTTCTAGTCCAGCCCCTTGCTCAAGCAGGAGACCCTGTACCATTCTGGACAAGTGGCTGTCCAGTCTCTTCTTCAAAGCCTCCAGTGATGGAGCACTCACAATTTCTGTATTGCATCATCCTGTATCCTGATTGGCTAAGCTCTGTAGCAAATGTACTTAAGGGGAAGCCCGAATCATGGCTTGGGAACACGACACCATTTTATCTGCTTATTTGCTGTTACTCTCTACCTGTTCTCTCTGTATGATCACTATTTGATCATTGCTACTTGTTGCTTTCTACTGTTTATTGAATGTTTTAATACTAAACTTGTTCCCGTTTGAAACTCAAGAAGAACTGTTTTATTGTGTAATGACAACAACTGGTAAGAAGACTTTGTACTTGGAATATCCCTGAACTGATATTTTAACTATCGCCTTATCTGTGTATGACTTGGAGTGTTATTGGACCTTGCTTTACTTTTTTTTTTCTAAAAAGTAAAAGACTACCACAACTCAGTGTGTCAGTATATTAACTGTGGTTATTCACTCTCAGCCGCTTTCATGTGCTTACTCAAGGGGTACTCTGCTCAATAACCCATAACATCGGTTATGAGCCAAGAATATCCTTAACATCTTGCCTTATTATACTGGCTATTGATTCATCAGCATCAAATACAGATCAGTGGTGGGGATTCAGCCAGTTCGGATTGGTTCAGGATTACCGGTAGCGGCAATCACGGGTGGACCTGCTCCCTCCTACCCTGGCGCTATGCAGTTCTATTTAGCCATGTTTTGGAGGCCAGGTGGCAGAGGTGGGTTTCAGTGGGTTATGTCAAGTTCTGGAGAACTGGTAGTGGAAATTTTGAGTAGTTCGGAGAACCGGTAGTAAAAATTCTGACTGGCCCCGCCCCCATCTATTCTCTGCCTCTCAAGTCCCAGCTGATCGGCAGGAAATGGGGATTTTGCAGTATCCTTCCCCTGGATTGGGGAGGGAATGGAGATTTTATAGTATCCTTCCCCTGCACGCCCACCAAGCCACACCCACAGAACCGTAGCAAAAAATTTTGAAACCCACCACTGCCGGGCGGATGCGTGGAAGACACGTGCGGGAGCAAAGCACATGCGCAGGAGGACGGGGCGACTGCGAAGCAAGTGCGCGCGGGGCAAACCGGTGATATAAATTTGTGAAACCCACCTCTGATACAGATAGTCCTCCACTTACAACGGTTTGTTTAATGACCTTTCAAAGTTACAATGGCACTGGAAAAAAGTGAGTTAAGATTGTTTTTCACAGTTACGACCTTTCTAGCATCACCACGATCATGGGATCCAAACTCAGGTGCTTATCAACTGATTCGTATTTATGACCGTTTCTGTGTCCCCAGGTCAGGCGATCCCTTTAATTGCAACCTCCTGACGAGCAAAGTCCATGAGGAAGCCAGATTCACTTGATAACCGGGTTACAAACTTATCAGCTTGCAAGGATTCACTTAACAACGGAGGCAAGGAAGGTCGTAAAATGGGGCAAAACTCACTTTACAAATGTCTTGCTTGACAATAGACATTTGGGTCACAAGTCGAGGACTACCGTATCTGTAGCTGAAAGTATTCTCAGCATCACTGGGTATTAGCCAGGGTGATGCTTTAGTCTTTAGTCTTTTAGTCTTTATTTGATTTATATACTGCCCTACTCCCGAAGGACTCAGGGCGGTGAACAGCTAAACAATAAAATACATAAATACAAAATTTAAAAAACAGAATAAAACCGAATTAAACAAATTTGGCCCAGACAGATTTAAAACACCCCAATCATTTAAAGATCATTTAAAAACAGATTAAAATTTACGTATTAAAAGAGAAAAAGGGGAAAAAGATTAGGCCAGGCCCGCCTGGTGGAATAAAAAGGTCTTGAGAGTGCGGCGGAAGGTGCGCAGATCTGGGATCCTCCGTATCTCCGGAGCTGCATCTTGACAGTTGTTTAATTGTTCTAATTAATCAGTGGAACAACTTGCCTCCAGAAGTTGTAAATGCTCCAACACTGGAAGTTTTTAAGAAGAGATTGGATAACCATTTGTGGTTTAGGATTTCCTGGCTAAGCAGGGGGTTGGACTAGAAGACCTCCAAGGTCCCTTCCAACTCTGTTATTCTATTCTAAAAATAATTTTTAAAAAATCACCTTATGAACGTCTTCTTTACTGCCGAAATAAATACTGTGGGTATACATACGCGCATACATGTCTACATCTAACAAACAAACAGTCCGTGCATACACATACAATGACAATAAAGTTATTATTATTATTATTATTAAGCAGTCCATGCATACATGATGCCAGGATGAAGAAAATACTAAACTACAATAGGTTGTCAATGACATTGTTTCAATTCACTCTATTAAATGAATTAGTGGGGGGGTGGGGGAAGCATGATTGCTAATCTGGAAATAAACCTCCCCACCCCCACCCCGGTTAATCTCAAATCTGGGAGGCTTTAATCTGGATTCTTGTCCTTTGCAAGGGATTTGGCTTGAAGAGCTTCTTTCAGATCTGGGATTATATTCTATAATTCCTCTACTTAATCTCCATAAGTAGTGGGATACATGATTTTTTTTTTTCCTGAGGGAAAGCCGCTCTTCGGCAAATCTGACCTCTTAGGGGTGAGCGGGACCAGGATACAAAGGAAACATGGTTTCACTTTCACTTCTCGTCTGGATTATTGTAATGCTCTCTACATGGGGCTCCCCTTGAGGAGCACTTGGAGGCTCCAGCTGGTCCAGAATGCAGCCGCGCGAGTAATAATGGGGGCGACCCGTCGCTCCCATGTAACATCTATCTTGCGCGAGCTGCACTGGCTCCCGGTGGTCTTCCGGGTGCGCTTCAAGGTGTTGGTTACCACCTTTAAAGCGCTCCATGGCTTAGGACCTGGTTATCTACAGGACCGCATTCTGCCACCGATTGCCTCCCACCGACCAATACGCTCCCACAGAGAGGGCCTCCCTCTTCAGCCGAGGAGATTGTAGAAAAAATGGTTTTAAAAGTTAAAAAAAAAAAAAGTTGGCCACACCCACTCAGTCATATTAAACCCCCCTCACCAAGCCACGCCCACAGAACCAGTAGTAACAAATTTTACATTTCACCACTGCTTGGAGGTCTTCTACTCCAACTCCCTGTAGGAAACGCTATAGCAGTGACGGAGAACCTTTGTGAGAGCATGTGCACGCTCATCTGGGCTGCGGCCCTATGGAATGAACTGCCCCCGGACATACGAAGGATCCCTGACTTCCGTGCCTTCCGTCGCGCTCTGAAGACCCTATTATTCCAGCAAGCTGGTCTGACAGGATAAAGGTTTTTTAAATTGGGTTTTGATTTATATGCCGCCCTTCTTCGGAGACTCAGGGCGGCTTACAATGAACTAAGCAATAGCCTTCATCCTTTTGTATATTTATACAAAGTCAGCTTATTGCCCCCACAAACTGGGTCCTCATTTCACCTACCTTAGAAAGGATGGAAGGCTGAGTCAACCTTGAGCCTGGTGAGATTCGAACCTGCAGTACTTGCAGGCAGCTGGTCTTAATAACAGGGTGCTTTAGACTACTGTACTACCAAGGCTCCTTGTCCTACACTCTGGTGGTTTGGAGAATAATCGACCCCCTCTTCTCAGTGACAGCCCCTCAAGTATTGGAAGACAGCTCTCATGTCACCCCTAATCCTTCTCTCCATTATGCTAGACGTACAACGGAACAATTCCCTCAATTCTTCATCATACAATTTAGCCTCCTGACCCCTAATCATCTTTGTTGCTCTTCTCTGCACCCTTTCCAGAGTCTCGACATCTTTTTTTCCTATCGTGGGGACCAGAACTGGATGCGGTACTCTTAAGTGTGGTCTCACCAGTGCAGTATTGAAGTGGTACTGTTAACCACTTCGTGTGATTTTGATGCTATCCCTCTGTGGATGCAATACCACATCTGAGTGCCTCCCCTTCTGCAGGTCCGTCTCTTACCCCAGGCAAATCGGCCTCCACGTCATTTAAAGTCCACTCACTCGATGGGATCATGGGATTGAAGGCCTAGTAGAAAGAAAGAAAAAAAGATACTCAGTTTGCTTTGGGGTCAAATGCACAGCAAGAAGCAACCAGTGGTGTTGTAATGCCTGCCAGAGTCCTTCCCTCTTTGCAGATGATAGCTAGCAATGGGGAGAGAGAGAGAACCGAGCCAGAAGACAGGCTGAGATCTCAACAAGCAATCAGCGGTGTTCTGATGCCTATCAGAGTCCTTCCTTCTTTGCAGTTGACAGTTAGTAATAAGGAACCAGAGAAAGCTGGGCCTTTAACACGCAGTCAGGTTGCAGCTAGGATAATGAAGCAGGAGGAAAAAAAAACAACTGCTGCCCTCCAATCAGGACACAGAGTTGCAGGCTAACCAGCATACGTCAGCAGCAGCGAACATAGAAAGGTGACAACTCCGATCTCGCAGCATACCCACAGCTTCTAAACTGAAAGTAGGGGCCCAATGATGACAAGTTAGAGAGCTTGTCGAAACGTTGCCAAAAAGAAAACTTTTAAAGTGTTGGTTAGGATTTTAGTCAGAGTTTCAAAAGACCTTACAAAGTGTTTTGTTGGGATTTTGGAGGATCTTAAACTGGGATTTTAGCCAGGATTTTAAGCATTTCAAATAACACACTTTTAATGACGCAGGAAAACATCCAAGATTTTAACGTTTTACACACACACACACACACACACACACACACACACATATATATGTGTGTGTGTGTGTGTATGCATGCATATATGTATATATATAGATATAGATATAACTAGGGCTGCATAATATCTTGGTTTACGTAGATAGAACCTGGCTAAAGAGAAATACTCATAAAACCTATGAAAAAGAAAGAAAAACAAATATATATATATATATATATATATATATATATATATATATATATATATATATATATATATGTTTTCTCAGGTTTTCGCGGGTGGGTGTTTGTATGTAGGTCTTCCAATTTTTACGTGGGAGAAGACCCGAATAACCAAAGACCTACATATATATATATATATATTGTATATATATATATATGTATATATGTATATGAATATGTATATGTTTATGTATGTATATAAATTTTATTAATTTTCTATTGCTTATATTTATTAGTGCTTAATAAACATTGTGTTGTCTGAGTATTTAATTTGCTTAACAATACAGGTTACATTTTTAATCTCCACCCTTTTTTCCCAACCACTCGTAAAATAAATCCCATGTTTGATAATATTCTGTGTCTTCTTTCTGTTTAATTTTCAGTGTCAGTCTATCCATTTCTGCACAATCTAGTATCTTCCTAATTATCTCTTCATCTTGTGGTATTTCTTCATTTTTCCAATATTGTGCCAATATAATCCTCGCTGCTGTTAAGACATGCAATGGTAATATATATATATTGCTTATCAAGTTTTTCTAGTAGTATACCTAATAAAAACAGTTCAGGTTTAAAATCTACATGTTTCCCTATCATCTTTTCTAACCACCTATGTATCTTTGCCCAATTTTTTTTTATTTATTTTTTTGCTTTAACACAAGTCCACCACATTTAATAAAATGTGCCTGTTTTTCGTTACATTTCCAACAGGGGTGAAATGCTACCGGTTCGGACCGATTTGGCCGAACCTGTAATAAAAAAATGCTACCAGTTCGGGCAAACTGTATCTTTTATTGAATAGCCCAAAGGCCTTTAAAAAAAAAAAAAAAGAAAAAGAAAAATATAAAACAAACAGTTACAGAAATAACAGTCTAAAAATATGATATATGACATTAAAATTTAACAATATCAGAGTTCAATAACTAAATTTCCAAAACTTGATAACCCAAATAAGATAGCTCCTCTCTAACTCAGCTTCATCTTTCTTTCAGTCAATGAAATTCTTTTCAATATAACTGGCTCGTATTGCTGTCATTCTTTTAAGATAGCGAGTGATAGCCCTTACCAGGGGAGGAGAGTCTGCCTTCAATGGAAATGATAATTTATGCCTTATATTCCAGTGGGGAAATTTATTTATAATTGGGGACAGATATTGCTTTCTTACTTCTTCATACAACCTACATTCAAATATTATATGCACCGTATCCTCCACGACGTTTGGGTTCGGGCAAACTGGTTTTTTCGATGATCAGCTGTGCCACACGAAATCATGCAGCACAGCTGTTCCCCCCCCCTCGCTATCCTACTTACCTTTGCAGACTCAGAAAAGGCTTCTTAATCCTATCCTGCGCGATAGTACCTGCGGTGTGCATGGATGCGTGCGAAGCGAACCGGTAGCGAAGCGAACCGGTAGCAGACTTCAGAGCATTTCAGCCCTGATTTCCAACATTTACTAGAAATATTTTTAAACATTTCAGGCCCTTTCTCAACTCTAAAAGGGACACAACAAACTGCTCAATTTGCAGGTCGTTTCAGGACGCCTTTGAACTGGCCACGCTTCTTCCGAGTTGGAAGCAGCACTTGCAAGTTTGCCACCAACAATTGTATTAAAAGGGAGGAATTCCACTCCCTTAAATGCAGGTAGTCGACTTACAGCAGTTCATTTAGTGACCATTCAAAGTTGCAGTGGCCCTGAAAAAAGTGATTTATGACCGTTTTTCAGAGTTACGACCGTTGCAGCATCCCCGTAGTCACGTGATCAAGATTCAGACGTTTGACAACTGGTTCATACTTATGACGGTTGCAGTGTCCTGGGGTCACGTGACCCGCTTTTGCGACCTTCTGACAAGCAAAGTCCATGGGGAAGCCAGATTCACTTAACAATCAGGTCACTAACTTATCAGCTGCAGTGATTCACTTAACAACTGTGGCAAGGAAGGTCGTAAAATGGGGCAAAACTCACTTAACCAACGTCTCACTTAATAACAGAAATTTTGGCCTCTATTGTGGTTGTAAGTCGAGGACTACCTGTAATCATTCAGGTAGAACATCCATGATGGTTGTTTTTTTTTAACCCCTCTGATGTTTTTCAAGCTTGGCAACTTTAAGACATGTGGGACTTCAGCTCCCAGAATTCCTCCAGCCAATTTAGGGAATTTACCTCCAAAGATCTGTTGGTTTCCAGGCTGTACTGCGGGTTTCTTAGCAAGATCTGAAAGCCTTCGAAATTCAGATCAGCCCCGTCCCAGAGATCAGGAATGACTGTTCTGAAGAAACACAAAAAAAGACAGTTGTCCAGAAAAATATCAGGTGACCGTTAGATCAATCAGAATAGAGCCGGAAGAGACCTTGGAGGTCTTCTAATCCAGCTCCCTGCTCAAGCAAGTGATCATATATTCCATATCAAACATGTAATTGTCCAGTCTCTTCTTAAAAACCTCCAGTGATGGAGCACCTACAACTTCTGGTGGCAAGCTGTTCCACTGGTGAATTGTCCTCACTGTTAGGAAGTTTCTCCTTAATTCCAGGTTGCTTCTCTCCTTGATTAGTTTCCATCCATTGTTGCTTGTCTTGCCTTTTGGTGCTTTGGAAAATTAGTTGACCCCCCCCTCCTCTTTGTGGCAGCCTTGCCAACTCCCCACAAAATCACCAAATCCCACATATATTACAGCATTCTCTCCTGAAATTTCACCAATTCCCAGATGTCAAATCAGAACTCGCAAAGTTTTAGTACTCTAGTACGAAATAGGAGCATTATCGTGTAAAACAGTGCTTCTCAATCTTGGTAGCTTGAAGATGGGTGGACTTGAACTCCCAGAATCCCCCAGCCAGCAGCGCTGGCTGGGGGATTCTGGGAGTTGAAGTCCACCCATCTTCAAGCTTCCAAGGTTGAGAAACACTGGTGTAAGATCTTACAAAATTTCAACATGCAAACCGAACAATCTCCAGCAGATCAGGACAACAAAGAAAGCAGGAGTAAACTTTAAATCCAGGATTTGGAGATCATCTCGTATAAAAACATACCGAGGGCAACCCCAAAGTTCTACATACAGGCAATCTTCAAGTTATGACTGGTAACTTGGCAACCATTCAAAGTTACAATTGGTCAGAAAAAGGGAAATTCTGAGGGTCGGGGCCAGTGGTGGGTTCCACCCGGTTCCGCCAAGCCGGTAGCGGTGACGATATGACGTCACCAAACCGGTTCTACCCCCCGCGTTACTCTTACCTTTTATTTGGCCCCACCCCCAATCTATTGCTGACTCCCGAATCCCAGCTGATTGACTAGAAGGAAAAAAACTGTTTAAACTCTTGCGGTGGGGCTTCAAAGGGCCGCCCTACAGCTGATCAGTGGTAAAAGGCAGTGTGGCGGTAGACCGGTGCCTCCAAAAACAAATGGGTAGACTGGTGCCTACAAAAACGAATGAGTAGACTGGTGCCTACAAAAACAAATGGGTAGACTGGTGCCTCCAAAAACGAATGAGTAGACTGGTGCCTCCAAAAACAAATGAGTAGACCGGTGCCTCCAAAAACAAATGAGTAGACCGATGCCTCCAAAAACAAATGAGTAGACCGGTGCCTCCAAAAACAAATGAGTAGACCGGTGCCTCCAAAAACAAATGAGTAGACCGGTGCCTCCAAAAACAAATGAGTAGACCGGTGCCTCCAAAAACAAATGGGTAGACCGATGCCTCCAAAAACAAATGGGTAGACCGGTGCCTCCAAAAACAAATGAGTAGACCGGTGCCTCCAAAAACAAATGAGTAGACCGGTGCCTCCAAAAACAAATGAGTAGACCAGTACAGCTCTGCAAGCAGTTAAAAGCCTGGTAGACCAGTACCTCTGCAAAATCCTAAAGAACTGTCACATGATCATCAAGCCACGCCCACAAAATAAGCCACGCCCACAGGACCGGTAGTAAAAAATTTTAGAACCCACCCCTGGTCAGGACCCCCTTCGTAATGATGTGACTGAACATCACTCACTACATTTATGGGTGTTTGCAGGGTCCCACATTCAGTGGCATTTCCAGTTTTGGCCAAACCACACCAGTGGTGAACCATTTCCTTAACAACTGCAGATTCACTTTAGCACAGTGGCTGTCTTAACAATCTTTGTTATGGCAAATGACTGCAAATAAGCAGGCTCCGTTTCTGTCGTTTGTTGAGGACTACCTGCAATCCATGTTTCTGTTCTGGACTCGGTTCCATAATTCCCAACCGGCATAACCAACGAACACAATGGTTTGGGGCAGTGGTGGGATTCAAATTTTTATACTACCGGTTCTGTGGGCGTGGCTTGGTGGGCGTGGCAGGGGATAGTGTAAAATCTCGATTCCCTCCACACTCCAGGGGAAGGTTTAACGTTTAACTTTATTTATTGGATACTCTGTTTTAATTGTCTTTTAACTTTTGTATTTTCTGTTTCTTATTGTTGTGAGCCGCCCTGAGTCCTTCGGGAGAAGGGCGGCAAATAAATAGATAGATAGATAGATAGACAGATAGATAGATAGATAGATAGATAGATAGGAATGGATGGATGGATGGATGGATGGATGGATGGATGGATGGATAGATAGATAGATAGATAGATAGATAGATAGATAGATAGATAGGGCCTGGTGGCTCAGCAGACTGATAGCATTGTGATTAACACCAGCTGTCTGCAATTACTGTAAGTTCGAACCTCACCAGGCTCAAGGTTGACTCAGCCTTTCATCCTTTCTAAGGTAGGTAAATTGAGGACCCAGTTTGTGGGGGCAATAAGCTGACTTTGTATAAATATACAAAAAGTATGAAGGCTATTGCTTAACACATTGTAAGCCGCCCTGAGTCTCCAGAGAAGGGCAGCATATAAATCAAAATAAATAAATAAATAAATAATAATAACTAAATAACTAAATAACTAAATAAATAAATAAATAAATAAATTTACTGCAAAATCCCCATTTCCTCCCTATCAGCTGGGACTTAGGAGGCAGAGAATATAGATGGGGACGAGGCCAGTCAGAATTTTTACTACCCGTTCTCCAAACTGCTCAAAATTTCCACTACTGGTTCTCCAGAACTGGTCAGAACCTCTGGTTTGGGGGTTATCAGAGCTGCAGCCTAAGAGAGCAGGATCGCACTGCAACACCACTGGGTGCCTCACCTGTCCAAAAATGATCGTCTTTCCTGGGGCTGCAAACACATTGGCTGCAGATCATCGCACCTTGTCCTCCCATCTAAGACCGATTGGACCACAGTAATGGGCAGCACAGGGGGCTCAGGACAGGAGTTGTACCCAACCAAAGGAACAGCAGGACTAGTGAATGCAGCTTTCCTGTCCGGACCAGCGGCTTCTTCCTTGATCAGCAGAAGATTGGTTTCCCTAGAACGATAAATAAGTCCTCTCCATGTTCTGCCTTTCTTTGTTTCACTCAACTGGCTCCAGACTCTTCCTCGTGCTAGGTAAAGGTAAAGGTTCCCCTCGCACATATGTGCTAGTCGTTCCCGACTCTAGGGGGCAGTGCTCATCTCTGTTTCAAAGACGAAGAGCCAATGCTGTCCGAAGACGTCTCTGTGATCATGTGGCCGGCATGACTCAACGCCAAAGGCGCATGGAGCGCTGTTCCCTTCCCACCAAAGGGGGTCCCTATTTTTCTACTTGCATTTTTTATGTGCTTTCGAACTGCTAGGTTGGCAGAAGCTGGGACAAGTCACGGGAGCTCACCCCGTTACGCGGCACTAGGGATTCGAACCGCTGAACTGCCGACCTTTTGATCAACAAGCTCAGCGTCTTTATAAGGCCTTATAAAGCAGTACTAATTTTTCACATGGTTTTGATTCTATGCCTCTGTTTATACAACCAAAGATTTTATTAGCTTTTTTGGCGGCGGCTGCACACTGCTGGCTCATATTGAAGAGCCTTGGTGGAGCAGCGGACTAAAGCGCTGTTAAAGTAGCACTTAGCTGCCAGCTGCCTGCAATTACTGCGAGTTCAAATCTCACCAGGCTCAAGGTTGACTCAGCCTTCCATCCTTCCGAGGTAGGTAAAATGAGGACCCGGATTGTGGGGGCAATAAGCTGACTTTGTATAAAAAAGAACACCGCTTAGGGGGAGGCGAAATCCCTACTAAGCAGGTATATACAAAAGTATGAAGGCTATTGCTTAATGCATTGTAAACCGCCCTGAGTCTCCGGAGAAGGGTGGCATATAAATCGAACCAATAAATGAATGAATGAATGAATGAATGAATGAATGAATGAATGAATAAATAAATAAATAAATAAATATTGAAGGGATTGTCTGTTAATCTGTTAAATACGAGCCAGCAGACTCCAAAGTCCCAGTGACATAATCAGTGGTGGGTTGCCCCCGGTTCGGACCGGTTTGCAAGAACCGGAAGTAAAACTGGCGGGAGGTCCCGCCCACCACCCCGGATGTCGTCATCAGTGATGTGCGCATGCACAGAAGGCGCACGTGTGAGCAAAGCAAGGCACGTATGTGAGTGAAGCAAGCGCGCGCACGATCCCGTTGCGAACCGGTGGTAAAGCTAAGTAGAGCCCACCCCTGGACATGATGTACATGTCACTTTGTTGTCCAGCTGAACTAAAGCACTCCCCACAAAGCCCCCATGACTATTGGGCATGCTGGCTGGAGATTTATTGGAACTGGAATCCAAATATTCCAGTGAGGAAGAGCTATGGAGGACAACCGATGACGGATTTAGTATCAAGCTAATCTTGTTGGAAAGCACGTAAAAAATGCAAGTAGAAAAATAGGGACCACCTTTGGTGGGAAGGTAACAGCGTTCCGTGCACCTTTGGCGTTGAGTCATGCCGGCCACATGACCACGGAGACGTCTTCGGACAGCGCTGGCTCTTTGGCTTAGAAACGGAGATGTGCACCGCCCCCTAGAGTCGGGAACGACTAGCACATATGTGCGAGGGGAACCTTTACCCTTTACCTTAATCTTGTTCCATACTGAATGAATGGCTGGAAAATCTGATGGAAGTAGCCAAGATGGCTAAATTGACTGCTTTAACCAAAGACAAAAAGACAACCAACTTCATTTCTGTTTGGAAACCACTTCTGGATTTTGTGCTCCAGGTGGAAATAAATGAAACTTTGACTTTGGGTTGTGCTGATAAGTTTGTTGTTACAGACATGGCTAATATGTATTAGTATGTAAAAGTAAAAAGTTGAGGCTGTAATGTTTCTATCTTATTTTACTGGGCTAAAAAGAGTTAGATGTCCATGTTTTTTTCTCCCCCCCACCACTTTTACACTTCTTTTATTTTTCCTCCCTCATTTCCCCACTATTTTCATTTAATTATTTACCTCTCACTGTCAGGAGGCAGCTGTAAAGCCACCGGACTGGGCTGGGCGGCCTCCGAAACATCAGAAATGATGGCTCCTCTCGGAACGGGGCTGTTTAAACACGAGGCAGGCTCTGCGGATGGCTAGAAACAGCGAAGTGGGGAAAATACATCTTTTGTTATGCTGATGAAGCTCCAGAAGAATATAGGCAATCCTCCACTTATGACCGTAGTGGAGCCTGCCCATTTACAGTCATAGGTCATGACAATCGTAAAATGGTCAATTCATGGGACCGACTTGATTTTATAACCTCTTTTAAAGAATTAAAGATAACCTTTATTGTCATTTTTTTACTGTGGGTACACTGGCACACATTAAAAATGATGTTGCCTGCTCTCAAAAGTACACATACATAACACACAGATAGACATGCTATATCTATCTATCTATCTATCTATCTATCTATCTATCTATCTATCTATCTATCAATCTATCTATCTATCTATCTATCTCTATCTTTCTCTCTCTATGTATCTATCTATGTATCTATGTATCTATGTATCTGTCTATGTATCTATGTATCTATGTATCTGTCTATGTATCTATCTATGTATCTATCTATCTATTTCTCTATATCTATCTATCTATCTCTATCTCTATCTCTATCTTTCTATCTCTATCTATCTTTCTTTCTCTCTATATCTATCTATCTATCTCTATCTATCTATCTCTATCTATCTTTCTTTCTCTCTATATCTATCTATTTATCTATCTCTATGTATCTATCTATGTATCTGTCTATGTATCTGTCTATGTATCTGTCTATGTATCTATCTATCTATCTAGATCTCTATATCTATCTATCTATCTCTATCTCTATCTTTCTATCTCTATCTATCTATCTTTCTTTCTCTATCTATCTATCTATCTATCTATCTATATATATCTTTCTTTCTCTCTATATCTATCTATCTATCTATCTCTATCTATCTGTATCTATCTTTCTTTATATCTATCTTTCTCTCTCTATGTATCTATCTGTCTATGTATCTATATATCTATCTATGTATCTGTCTATGTATCTATCTATGTATCTATCTATGTATCTATCTTGTATCTGTCTATGTATTTATCTATGTATCTATCTATCTATATCTCTATATCTATCTATCTATCTCTATCTCTATCTTTCTATCTCTATCTTTCTTTCTTCTCTCTATATCTATCTATCTATCTATCTATCTCTATCTATCTATCTATCTGTATCTATCTTTCTTTCTCTCTATATCTATCTATCTATCTATCTATCTATCTATCTTTCTCTCTCTATATATCTATCTATGTATCTGTCTATGTATCTATCTATGTATCTATCTATCTATATCTCTATATCTATCTATCTATCTATCTCTATCTCTATCTTTCTATCCTCCAAGGTCCCTTCCAACTCTGTTATTCTATTCTATTCTATTCTATTCTATTCTATTCTATTCTATTCCATTCCATTCCATTCCATTCCATTCCATTCCATTCCATTCCTATTCTACTCCACTCCACTCTACTCCACTCCAATATTCTATTCTATTATCTTTCTATCTATCTATCTATCTTTCTCTCTCTCTCTCTCTATGTATGTATGTATGTATGTATGTATGTATGTATGTATGTATGTATCTATCTATCTATCTATCTATCTATCTATCTATCTATCTATCGTAGTTCCTTCATGAAGGTTGCTTACAGCCTTACAGATAAACAATCAAACAGTAAACAACAGCCTCATCAAGAAACTACCAAGACAAAAACAACACTCCCATCAACACTGACAGGCCGGCTACTGTATGTAACCAGACAGCAAGCCTCACTCCTTTCTAGCACTGATGTTGTTACATAGCTGGGTCTTGAAAGGTCTGCAAGAAAACCACCAAGCTCAGAGAGCCCGAAGGATTCCTCATGTCAACCCTGAGCTACACACATTCTCTTCTATTGGTTTTTTTTTTTTTTAATTTTGGTTTATATGCCGCCCTTCTCTGGAGACTCAGGGCGGCTTACAATGCGCTAAGCAATAGCCTTCATTCTTTTGTATATTTTATACAAAGTCAGCTTATTGCCCCCACAAACTGGGTCCTCAATTTACCTACCTTAGAAAGGATGGAAGGCTGAGTCAACCTTGAGCCTTGGCGAGATTCGAACCTGCAGTAATTGCAGGCAGCTGGTCTTAATAACCAGCTTAATAAAAGGGTGCCTTAGACCACTGTACTACCAAGGCTCTTGTTATTGAAGGTATTTCTCCCCTCTTTCCTTTTACTTTCTGGAAAAGTAGAAAGGGTCCCTTCTGAAACGCTTCCCACGCCCTCCTCCCTTCTGTGGGCTGAGACATGTTCCACACACCAGACATCCTGTTGGTGGCTCTCCCTCCATCTCCCACGGTCATTCGCACAGACCATTACAATCCCACAAACGATTTTGCTTCAAACCAAGAAGCACCTCCTCAAATGGAGAGAAGTAAGCAGTCTTCAAGACTCTTCAATATCTTCATAAATGACTTAGATGAGGGACTAGAAGGGGAACTCACCAAATTTGCAGATGACACTAAGCTGGCAGGAATAGCTAACACCCTAGAAGATACGCTCAAGATCCAGATGGATCTTGACAGACCTGAACACTGGGCCCTATCGAACAAAATGAAATTCAATGTAGAGAATAGTAAAGTCTTACACTTAGGTAAGAAAAACCAAAAGCACACATATAAACGGGGGGGGGAAACCAGGCTTAATAGCAGTGACTGTGAGGCTTGGAGTCTTAGTGGACAACCAGCTAAATATCAGCCAGCAGTGTGCAGTGGCAGCCAAAAAAAACAACACAATCCTAAAAGAGCCTAAAACAGTGGACTAGAGCACTGTTATTAACATCTGTTGCTTGCAATTACTGCAAGTTCAAATCTCACCAGGCTCAAGGTTGACTCAGCCTTCCATCCTTTCAAAGGTAGGTAAAATGAGGACCCAGATTGTGGGGGCAATAAGCTGACTTTGTATAAATATACAAAAGTATGAAGGCTATTGCTTAACGCATTGTAAGCTGCCCTGAGTCTCCGGAAAAGGGCGGCATATAAATTAAAGCAAAAAAATAAAATAAAATTGCATTAACAGAGGGATAGAATCAAGATCAAGGGAGGTACTAATACCACTCTCTAAAGCTTTAGTAAGACCATACCTACAATCCTGCATCCAGTTTTGGTCACCACACTATAAAAAAGATGTTGAGACTCTAGAAAGAGTGCAGAGAAGAGCAACCAAGATGATGAGGGGACTGGAAGCTAAAACATATGAAGAATGGTTGCAGGAACTGGGCATGGCTGGCCTAGTGAAGAGAAGGACCAGGGGGGACAGTATAGCAGTCTTCCAATATTTGAGGGGCTGCCACAGAGAGAAGGGGGTCAAGCTATTTTCCAAGGCACCCGAAGGCCAGACAAGGAATAATGAATGGAAACTGACCAAGGAGAGATTCAACCTAGAAATGAGGAGGAACTTTCTGATAGTGAGAACAATCAACCAATGGAACAGAAGTTGCCTTCGGAAGTTGTGGGAGCTTCATCACTGGAAGCTTTCAAGAAGAGACTGAACTGCCATCTGTCAGAAATGGTGTAGCGTCTCCTGCTTGAGCGGGGGGTTGGACTAGATGACCTATAACTCTGTTAATCTAATCTGAACCAATCTGAACCAAATCACCAGCCAGAGAGCTAACCGGCCAACGAAGAGCTGACTTGACATCCCAAATCAGTTGCCAGTCAAAACAAGAGCAGGTTAAAAAGCAAAGACTAGATGGATCACAATCCCAAACTTACAGACTGAATGTAGCAAGGTTCGTGAAAGGGATCCAAAGGCAGAGGTCTTCTGAATTTGGCCACCTGTGGGGCAGAGTTCCCATCATCCAACATGAGAGGCCTATGGGCAGATAGGAAGCGAAGCAGTTTAACCCCCCCACATCCTGATGTCTGGCTCCCACAGCTTTATCACATATTATTCCATTTTATTTATGGTGCCTTCAGGTTTGTCTTGACTCCTGGGGATCCTCTCGATTTGGCAAGAGTCTGGAAGAGGTTCGCCATTGCTTGCTTCCTAGGGTTGATAGGCAGGGACTGGCCTCCAAGGACACCCATCTAGTTTTGGGCATAAAATGGGGCCAGAACTCAGAGTCTCCTGGTTTTTAGCCTGGTGCCTTTATAATACCATAAATCTATGTACTTGTTCTTTGTTTACTCGGTAAATGGAAGACTTAATCCTATTTGTAACTTATGAATGAGGTTACAGACTGTATGTACATAGACTAGGTACGGACGAATTCGCTGGCTGGGGAATTCTGGAAGTTGAAGTCCGTACCTTAAAACATGCTAGCTGGGGAATTCTGGGAATTGAAGTCCGTACCTTAAAACATGCTAGCTGGGGAATTCTGGGAATTGAAGTCCGTACCTTAAAACATGCTAGCTGGGGAATTCTGGGAGTTGAAGTCCGTACCTTAAAACATGCTAGCTGGGGAATTCTTGGAGTTGAAGTCCGTACCTTAAAACATGCTAGCTGGGGAATTCTGGGAGTTGAAGTCCGTACCTTAAAACATGCCAGCTGGGGAATTCTGGGAGTTGAAATCCGTACCTTAAAACATGCTAGCTGGGGATTCTGGGAATTGAAGTCCGTACCTTAAAACATGCTAGCTGGGGAATTCTGGGAGTTGAAGTCCGTACCTTAAAACATGCTAGCTGGGGAATTCTTGGAGTTAAAGTCCGTACCTTAAAACATGCTAGCTGGGGAATTCTGGGAGTTGAAGTCCGTACCTTAAAACATGCCAGCTGGGGAATTCTGGGAGTTGAAATCCGTACCTTAAAACATGCTAGCTGGGGAATTCTGATGGTGGAAGTCAACTCATCTTAAAGTTGCCAAGTGTGAAAAAAAACAACTTCTTCCGCTTATAAGAAGGTTGAGTGCTCATCCAATCTCTTTTCCTTCAATGATTGTTGGACAAGGATGGATAAACTTCTCCCACAGATCCCCCCATAATGTTCTCAAGCCCCCTTTGGCTATTCCAGAGCATCCCATGAATGAGGTGGACCCCCCCCCCCAAAACCCTCAAGATGACTTCATTTCAATCCAATCCAGGTAGATCTCCCTCACTCCCTCAGAGCTACGAGCAACTAATCCCACGGGGTGGGGTTCGTGAAGCAGCTTGCCTCCACCCCAACCCTTCGGCATTGGTCTCCTCTCCCTCAGCCTAGCATGCTTCTAAACAAAGGCCACAGCAGCTGACTGGGTGGTTGTCCAAGGGCCCTGAATCAGCAGCTCTGACTCATCAATTCCACCCCTGTTCAGATCCTGGTCACCAGGGTACCCAAGTCCCATGACCAGCTCTGCCCTTTGAAACAGCTCCACACTTTGCAAGCCCCCCAAGAGTTCCTTGCCCACGTAGGCGTCACATGAGGCTGCTACTCACCGTTTTCTCTTTATCCCAGGGCTGCTGGGACTGGACTGGAGCTGGCCAAACAGAAATTGAATCAGCTGTTGAGGAAAATAGTAGTCAGCAGACAATAAGGCAGCATCTCTCTCTCTCTCTCTCTCTCTCTTTGAACACCTAGTGTTCCCCTTCTGCTTGCACAGACAACCTTCTGAATAGGCACCTAAGCCAGACACCTGTTTTGCCCAAAATTGTATTTCCCAGTATTTCATAGGCTTTTATAGAATCATAGGGATAGGAGGGACCTTGGAGGTCTTCTAGTCCAACCTAAGGCAGGAGACTTTATATCATTCTGGTCAAGTGGTTGTCCAGTCCAGGGGTCTCCAACCTTGGCAACTTTAAGACTTGTGGACTTCAACTCCCAGAGTTTCTGGGAGTTTCAGAATTCTGAGAGTTGAAGTCCACAAGTCTTAAAGTTGCCAAGGTGGGAGACCCCCTGGGTCCAGTCTATTCTTGCAAACCTCCAGAGATAGCATCTACGGAGATTCTCAATCCTCCAGGACATGGTTGTCCCAAAGCTGCTCTTTTTTTCCTCAAAAGGCAACTGGACTTTCTTAGCTTTTTTTTTTTTTTTTTTTGAAAATATTTGGCTTCACATCGCTTGTGTCAGCTTTCGATGTCGTCTCAAATAAAATAAATTGCATTTCCAAACAGATAGTCTTTGAAGAAATCTTTCATTTTATTAAGCACGACAATCTGTCCCCGATCGTGGCGTAGCCAACTCTGACTTCCTGATCCCAAACCTTCCCTTTCCGTTCCCCAATTCTCTGCGTCTCATTGGCCTTCTTCCAAATCACTCTCCCCATATCTACTACTTAAGCTCCCAGGAATGTCCCCCCTCCCATCTCATCTCCTAGGGGATATTATCTTCAGGGAAAATAAGTAGGTGAAATGTCAAGCGTCCTCTTGCCAGCTGCCCCCTCTTCTCCTTCTTATGTCAGCACTAGAGTAAATGCAGGTTGAAGTGCTGACAGCTTGCTTTGTGCGCTGATAGTGGGGGCAGGGGTGAAATCTAAAATATTTCCCTACAGGTTCGGTGGGCATGGCTTGGTGGGTGTGGCAGGGGAAGGATATTGCAAAATCTTCATTCCCTCCCCTCCTGGGGGAAGGATATTGCAGAATCTCCATTCCCGCCCCACTCTGGGGCCAGCCAGAGGTGGTATTTGCTGGTTCTCCAAATTACTCAAAATTTCCGCTACCAGTTCGCCAGAACCTGTTAGAACCTGCTGGATTTCACCTCGGTGGGGGGGGGGGAAGCACCTTTGGGACCTTCAGCGATGGTGCACCCACAACTCCGGGATAAAGGTGAAATGAATTGAAAAAGCTGGTTTATCCCATAGGCAAGCTTGTCTGGATGGGTGAGACGGGCTGAGATACTTTGGCTTAAGCTAAATTCTACAAGTCAACATTTAAGACTTCCAAGGAGTTGACATTTGCACCAAGGCAGACACACATTAATTTATAATACTAGTAGAGTTGCCCGCTTTAAAATCAGAACCAAAGGCAGCTCGCAACCACAATATAAAAACAAAATTGTGCAAAAAAAAAGAAGCAGAAAACAAAAACAGATGCAGAAAAATCTGACTCCATCATCAAACTCATTGGATGCAACATGCAAACCTCTGTACCAATTCCATCTTTACCCTATCTCAGCGCTTGGAGGGAAAACCTGTTGTGGTCCGCCAGCAGCTTGCAGTGCTGGCAGCGGAGTCGGACAGTGAGGAGGCTGGGGAGGAAGATGGGCCAGTCCTGGAGTCTGGGGAAGGCTCGGACGAGGGCTCTGCGTTGAAGGCAGAGATGGGGCCAGGGCCATCTGGGAGTTATGCACGGACTCCAAAGCCTCCAGAGTCGGACATCAGAGAGGCAGAGGAATAGGAGGAGCCTGTTCCTAGTGCGTGCATGCGCAGGCAAGAAGAGTTAAAACAAAAGGGACGACTCAGGAGTAAGGCCTGGAGATGATTGGCCCCTCCCATAAGGCTTAAAAGAGGAGCAAAGGCACGTGGGCCCTTTGCAGGAAAGCAACGTTGTTAATTCTGTTCCCAGTCGGCATCGCTGTTTGATTCTGGACTCCGTGTGGCTTTGCCTTAGTAGGTCTTTGGGAGCGTGTCGAGGGAGATAAAGGTTGGTGATTATCCCGAAGGACTTCTCCTGAAGGACTTTTTGCAACTAATTGGGACTCAGCTGTGAATGAACGTAATTCACAGCTGTTGCAATAAAAGAGGTTTTTGGGACGACTCGTGTGTTTTAATGACTCAGGAAGCCTAGATCGCAACAAACTCAAGGGCCTGGTGGCTCAGCAGACTGATAGCATTGTGATTAACACCAGCTGTCTGCAATTACTGTAAGTTTGAATCTCACCAGGCTTAAGGTTGACTCAACCTTCCATCCTTTCAAAGGTAGGTAAAATGAGGACCCAGTTTGTGGGGGCAATAAGCTGACTTTGTATAAATATACAAAAGGATGAAGGCTATTGCTTAGCGCATTGTAAGCCGCCCTGAGTCTCCGGAGAAGGGCGGCATATAAATCAAATTAAAAAAAAAAACCTTTAACTTCTGAAAGGTTAAAAGCAGAATTTCTCAACTTTGGCAGCTTCAGGATGTATGGCCTTCAACTCCTAGAATTCCCCAGCCAACTAAGAATTCTGGGAGTTGAAATCCATACACCTTCAAGTTGCCAAGGTTGCAAAACACTAATTAAAAGACAGGGGCCTGCCAGATCTCAAGGGAAAGGGTGTTCCACAAAGCAGGCGTCTTTATCCTAGGCTTACTAGATGCGCAAAGCAAGCGATAGTGGTTTGCAAACCCCAACCCAGAGTTTAGCATGATACAAAATTCCAGTGAAGGTAGAAGAAGAGCAGGCAGTTAGGAAGAGGAGTTAAGCATGTTATCAGTTTAGAGTCATTATGTTGTCCAAGTCCAAGCCCTCTTGAATTCCATTGATCCTTGTCTGACGCTTATTTAGTATAGAATTTTAGTTGACTATATTCTCGTGTATTCAGATTCAGATTAACAGAGTTGGAAGGGACCTTGTAGGTCATCTAGTCCAACCCCCCGCCCAAGCAGGACACCCTGCACCATTTCTGAAAGAGGGCAGTCCAGTCTCTTCTTGAAAGCCTCCAGTGATGAAGCGGCCACAACTTCCGAAGGCAGCTTCTGTTCCATGGGTTGATTGCTCTCACTGTCAGAAAATTCCTCCTTATTTCCAGGTTGAATCTCTCCTTGTTCAGTTTCCATCCATTATTCCTTGTTTGGCCTTTGGGTGCCTTGGAAAGGAGCTTAATCCCCTCCTCTTTGTGGCAGCCCCTCAAATATTGGAAGATGCTCTCATGTCTCCCCTGGTCCTTCTCTTCACTAGACTAGCCATGCCCAGTTCCTGCAACCTTTCATTCTATGTTTTAGCCTCCAGTCCAGTGGTGGGTTGCTACCAGTTCACCCCGGATTGGGCAAACCGGTAGCGGTGTCAGCAGGAGGCTTTGCCCACCCGCCCGGATGTCTCTGCGCATGCGAATAAGCTTCTGTGCATGTGCAGAAGCGTCATGCGCAAACACAAGCGTGCACGCATCCACGAGCAAACTGGTAGCAACAGGATTTGTAACCCACTACTGCTCCAGTCCCCTAATCATCTCTGCATTTTTTCTAGAGTCTCAACAATTTTTTTATAGTGTGGTGTATAGGTTTAAGCAATAAATCTTTGAACTGCAACTTAATGTATGGTCCTGATCCTTCATACCTGATCTTAATCTCTAGAATATATAGTCTTGGCGTATTCAGGTCTTTTCCCGTATAAGATTGAGAATATCTTGGCAACGTTTCAACGAGGTCCCACTCGTCATCTTCAGGCTGGTGTCTTCAGCTTCGTGCTTGTGCGAGCAAAGCGTGATCGGAGATGCCATCTCTCTATAAATACTGGTGGGGAGGTGTGGAGCGCTGGCTTTGTTGTTGTAAGCGGGTTGGTTGGCTGTGTTGTTACATCTTGATTAGTAGATGGAGTTGATGTTTGCAGATTAGTTGGTTGTTTCGTAACATCCTGTGTGGGCAAGGTCTTAGCTGTGTGCCCATTAGCCTTTTGTGTTATAACGACCTGGGTAATGGATTGTGTGGTAGCATCCTCAGCTCTAGTGTTGTGACATCCTGAGTCCTGTGCTGCAACATCCTGGGTAGTTGGCTGTGTTGTAACATCCTGAGCTTTAGTGTTGTATATAAGAATATATAAGAATCTAGCCAACTAACAATCAGTTCTAAATTGGCACCAGATAAATGTCAATGGAATTCAAGAGGGGTTGGACTTCAATCATTTGTGGGAACGTAATGATTCTAAACTGATGACATGCTTAACTCCACTCCCCCACCCCACCCCCCCAGCTCTTGCCTGCTCTTCTCCTACATGGACTCAAAGAAAGCACGGTTAAGCAAAGCCAAACGTAAAACCCACCCCAGGTTGAGAATATGTCTCAATGGTGCTCTATCAGTCTCAATCCCCTCGTTACCTTATTGATCACTTTCTGATGCTGCAAATGGTTTTGCCGGAGACATAGAACTTCCTTCCACAAAACCTCGTTCTGCCTGAAAAGAGAAGAGTTGTCATGCTAACACAGCTGACGGTGGGCTCCTCAAGATCATCATCTAGAGACACGTTGGCGAACTTCTGGCACTCGTGCTGGAAGTGGCACGTAGAGCCATTTTTCTGGGCATGTGAGCTGTCGCCAAGCTCACCTGAAACTGCGCATGTTCATGCCACCCAGCTAGTGTTCAAGGCCTCTGGTGCACATGCACTCAATTCAGGGGACCCAGCTGGGCTTCAGAGCTCTCCTGCGCATGTGTGCGTTTGCGCATGCGCACGAGATGACTGGCGCACAATGCGTGCATGCATAGACAGCGTTTGCACATGTGCATTGCGTGCACAAGAGCTGTGTGCATATGGTGAGATTGTGCATGCAGTGACTGCTGGGGCGCATGTGCAAAAGCTGTGTGCATGCGCAAATGGTGCGGTTGCGCGGACAGCACATGGGGAGGAGCCACGCGTTACCGTGGATGGCATGTGGGCATGCGCAGCGCACAAAGCACATTCCTGTTCGGCAATCGGTAAGTAAAAGGTTCACCACCACTGATCTACAGCAGTGGTGAAATCTAACATTTGTTACTACCGGTTCTGTGGGCATGGCTTGGTGTGAAGGGTAATGTGACTGGGTGGGCATGGCCTTTTTTTTATTTTTACTTTTAAAACCATTTTTTCTACATTTGTAAAAAAATCTTTCAAAAGGCTCTGACGATCCCAGCTGAGCCGCGTGATCATCAGAGGCTTTTTTTTTTAAAGCATTTTTTCACCTGAAGAGGTTGTAGAAAAAATGCTTTTAAAAGTAAAAAAAAAAAGCCTCTGATGATTGTGCGGCTCAGCTGGGCATGGGGGTGGGGGGAGAGGGACAGGGATTTTTGCTATCGGTTCTCCGAACCACCCATCGCTATCGGATTGGGCGATCCAGTCTGAACCAGGAGCATTTCACCCCTGATCTAGAGGTTTGTATATTTCTATGCAACTGTGCTCAAACTGGGGGCTTAGATTAGTTCAGTTCAACTGCTATCATTCTTGGCTGCCAGAACATGGATTGGATAAGACTGCCTTAGTAGTGCAGGCTGAAATAATAATAATAATAATAATAATAATAATAATAATAATAATAATAATAATAATAATAATTTTATTTCTATACCGCCCTTCTCCTGAAGGACTCAGGGCGGTGTACAGCCAATTTAAAAGCACAAGACACAACAATGATTAAAAATTAAAATAATTAAATAGATTTGGCCGGTTTAAAACCCCAAAAAAATTTAAAATACCCCAATTTAAAATTATTATATTGATAGCCCGGCCTGGCGGAACAACATGATATACATGATAAGGTGTGGCAGCTCTGTACAATTCAGTGAATAGGTAGGCATGGATCATTTATCGTCAGGTCTTACTTGGTTAATTTTAACTATGAATGGTTGTATACAAATACAGGTAGTCCTCAACGTACAACAGTTCATTCAGTGACCATTCAAAGTTACAATGGCACTGAAAAAGTGACTTACGACCGTTTTTTCACTCTTACAACCTTCGCAGCAAAATTCAGATACTTGGCAAACTTCATACTTACGACCGTTGCTGTGTCCCAGAGTCACGTGATCCCCTTTTGCGACCTTCTGACAAGCCAAATCAATGGGGGAAGCCAGATTCACTTAACAACCGGGTTACTGATTTATCAGCTGCAGTGATTCGCTTAACAACGGTGGCAAGAAAGGTCGTAAAATGAGGCAAATCTCACTTAACAAGTGTTTCATTTAGCAACAGAAAGTTTGGGCTCAATTGTGGTTCTAAATCAAGGACTACCTGCACAGCCGATTTGGAGAGGTTGTGGCCTACTGCAGGAGTCTCCAAATTTTAAGGCTTGTTGACTTCAACTTCCAGAATTCCTCAGCCATGAATTTTCAATGTTGAAGTCCACAAGTCTTAAAGTTGCCAAGTCTGGAGACTCCTGGCTTAGACAGTAGCACTTCCTGACACCAAATACCAAAAAATCACAGTCTCCATTCTCAGCCCAGGAATGAACTTCTATTTAGACCACTTCTGATGGCCTTTGGAGATGCTGCCCATGGTGGAGGCTGGGTGCAGTTCCCCAAGCTGATGTTTACATGCCGTGAAGTCCTGAGATAAATGCCACATTTGAAGGCCAGTGTTGTGGTCCACCAGCAGCTCATGGAGCTAGCAGCGGAGTCGAACAGTGAGGAGGCTGGGGAGGAAACTGGGCAAGTCCTGGAGTTAGGGGAAGGCCTGGATGAGGGCTCTGCGTCGGAGGCAGAGATGGGGCCAGGGCCATCTGGGAGCAATGCGCAGATTCCGAGCCTCCAGAAGCGGACAGCAGAGAGGCAGAGTGCACGCATGCGAAGAGCTGCCAGAAGGCAAGAACAGCTAAAACAAAAGGGACAACCTGGGAGTAAGGCCAGGAGATTATTGGCCCTTCCCAGAAGGCTTAAAACAGTAGCAACGGCTCTTGGGATCTTTGTAGGAAAGCAACGTTGCTACATTTGTTTCTTGTCGGCATCTCTTGTTTCTGAACTTTGTGGGGCTTTGCCAAGAAAAGCCTTTGGCAGGGTGCCAAAGAAGACAAAGGTTGGTGATAAGGCCGAAGGACTTTTTCTGAGGGACTTGTTTTGGAATTAATTTGGACTAAGCTGAGAATAAACTAATTCTCAGCTATTCTAATAAAATATGTTTGTTTATGAATGATGTTGTCTGGTAATAACTACTTGGGCCTAGGTCACAACAGCCAGGAGACGGGCTTACTGTTTCACATCCTGCACTTGACATTCCATCATCTCCTGCTGGTTCCTGAGGACTTGGATCTCGTACAAAAGCCTGCTGAGGTCTTCTTGGCGCATCTTGGTTTCTTCACTTTTCACCACAGACACCTGAAGGAACAAAGAGGAGGAAGAGAAGAGCAAGAAACAACAGTTTCCAAAAAAAGGGGGGGGGATGGGTCATCATATCTACAGCTAAGTTTGGTATCCTCTAAATTCTAGATCAGTGTTTCTCAACCTTGGAAGCTTGAAGATGGGTGGACTCAACTCCCAGAATCCCCTAGCCAGCAGCGCTGGCTGGGGGATTCTGGGAGTTGAAGTCCACCCATCTTCAAGCTTCCAAGGTTGAGAAACACTGATCTAGATCATGTTCTGGCCTAGGCTTCCCCAGCAGCACGAAGCCGAGTCCTCATCCCAATAAACCCCTTTTATTAAATTTACAGTGAATGCCTCTCCAGCAAAGTCTTTCCTCTCCCCCAGTCTTTCAAGATAGTTCACCATTACCGACCTTTATCAGGCTTGGAGAGTGGCCAGATCGATATCTTTCAGACGCCGCAATACTTGGCAAAAATGCAGGAATGAACTAATTGTCTCCTGCAAACTCCACTCCCCTTTCGCCCCTCTTTTATTCCCTCTGGGAGGGGCCCTTCATCGTCCACCTGTGGCCTTACTCCCAAGTCGACCCTTGTTCTTTAGTTGTTCCCTTCATCTGGAAACTCTGTGCATGCGTACACTCGGAACAGGCTCCAGCTGTTCATCTACCTCACTGATGTCTGACTCTGAAGGCAGCTGATAACTGTCAGACGGCCCTGGCCCCCTCTCTGCCTCCGATGCAGAGCCCTCATCAGAGCCTTCCCCAGACTCCAGGATTGATCCATGTTCCTCCCCAACCTCCTCACTGTCCGAATCTGCTGCCAGTTCCTCTGGCCGCTGGCGGGCCGCAACAAGCTCCTACCTTCCTTTTGATCAGCTCCAAAAGATGTTCATGGCCTTGTAGGAAATAAAGATGTTGGAATTCCGTATCATCACGTTCAGGTTTCACAAGTCCGCCTTGTTCGATGTTCACCACTTTCCTAAACCCGTCTACATGCAACAGATAGAAGAAAGAGCGGAGTGGAGGTTACACCATGTTTCCCTCAACAACAGCGCAGTTTAGAGAGACAAATGTTCGGGATCATCTTTTTTTTTTTTGTAAATATTTTTCATTATTTTTCAAACATAAGCATAAAATATAACTTTCAAGAGCAAAAACTCGATCCGGTCATAGATGGTTACCACGCTTACATTTCTTTGACAGACTCCATTCACAATTTCCCATTGCATCTTTAACAGGTAAAAGTTCAAAACATAAGGAGAATAAATTTTAACATAGATTTAACATCCTTATCTATATAAATCTATTACATCAATACAATTTTAATTTCATATTTACTTTAGCTCATTTGTGTCTAAGTATCAATCCTGCTTATATCTGGTTCTTCTCCACATTGTCTTTATCATCTCTTTTACCATCAGTTGCAAAATACTTTTTAACAATATTCTAATCTCTTATTCTAATTATTAACCACAATTTTATCACCTCAAAACTTAATTTCAAATTCAATACATCTCCATTTTTCTTACCATTTATACAACAAAATTCTAACTACATTTCTTAGACTCTTGACCCATTCCATCAAATCTTGATATCTTAAATTTTATCATTACTTTTACACAGAGGAGGAGGAGAGTTGGAGGAGATATGCTGGAAATCAGCCAACATAAAATGCTGGAAATCAGCCAAGCAATAGAGGAGAGTTGGAGGAGATATGCTGGAAATAAGCCAACATAAAATGCTGGAAATCAGCCAATAATGGTGGGAGGCTCAGAGGAGAATATGCTGGAAATTAGCCAAACACAACATGCTGGAAATTAGCCAAATAATAGAAGGAGGTATGGAGGAGAACATGCTAGCAATTAGTTTAAATAAAATTTTAGGGATGAATCTGTGTAATTTGAAATGTGTAAAAGTAATGTTTGGGCTCATCTTGTTGGTTGTAAGTTGAGGACTGTATCTGTGCAAGAACTAAGCTACTTCCCTGTTGCAGCATGTGATAAGAGAGGAAGAATTACTGTATAGGAAATTATTTTCTGTCCTGTTGCAGAGTAAAATAACAGAGCAAGATTGGGCATCCATCGGTCTGGGATGTCTACGGAGATTCTCGGTCATCCAAGTCATGGATGTGTTTTGACCTAGGCTTCCTGATATAGTAAAAAGCACACCATTGGTCCCAAAAACCCTTTTTTTATTTTCATGGCTGTGAATTCCTTCCATTCACAGCAGGTGCTGAATCACCAAGAGTTTATAAATAGTCCAACAGAAGTCTGCTACAGTCCTTCGGATAACGCTGGTAAACACCCACCTTTATCTTGGCAAGGCCACACGGAAACACAGAGTCAAAAACGGAGCTTCAAAGTACAAACCGACACCATCCACAACGTTGCTTCCTGTAAAGGCCCACATGCCTTTGCTCTTCCTTTATGTCTTATGGGAGGGGCCAATCACCTGCAAGTTTTACTCCTGAGTCGTCCCTTTTGTTTTAACTGTTCTTGCCTTCTGGCAGCTCTGCGCATGTGTGCACTGGGAACAGGCTCCCCCTGGTCCTCTGCCTCTCTGATGTCTGACTCTGGAGACTCCGGAGTCCGCACATAACTCCCAGATGGCCCTGGCCCCATCTCTGCCTCCGAAGCAGACCCCTCGTCCGAGCCTTCCCCAGACTCCAGGACTGGCCCATGTTCCTCCCCAGCCTTCTTACTGTCCGACTCCGCTGCCAGCTCCACAGACTGCTGGAGGACCATGACAGGATGTCCCAAAGGTGCTTTTTCAAAAGGCAACTGGACTTTGCTTTTTCTCTTGAAGAAGTTTCGCTTCTCATCCAAGAAGCTTCTTCAGTTCTGATTGACTGGTGGAGAATGGGAAGATTTATGTATAGTCCTTGCGGTCATCTGGTCATTAGTAATCTTTCTGAGAGTTGTTGAGGCCATTTGGAGGTTTATCTGTGCCTTCGGGGTCACTTGAATAGTGCAAATAGCTATGGAACCAGAGTGGAGTGGAACAGAATGGAACGGAACGGAACAGAACAGAACAGAACAGAACAGAACAACAACTAAGATAGAATAACAGAGTTAGGTGTCAGCGTTTCAGCGCTGACATATGAAGGAGAGGAGAAGCTTGAACTTTTGCCTACTTAATTCCTTTAAAGATTCTGTTTCCTCGGAGATGGGAGGAGGGGGGACATTCCTGTGATCTGACGGAGATGGGATGAGGAGAGTGGCTTGGAAGATAGCCAATGAGACGCAGAGAATTGGGGATCGGAAAGGGAGGGCTTGGGGGGCAAAGGTCAGTGCTGACCGCAAAAGAGCCAGGGACAGATCACTATGTTCAATAAAGAGAAAATTTCCTCAAAGATCGGCAGTTTGGAAATTCATTTATTTTGAGATAGCATCGAAACCTGACAGTTAGGGACCTTGGAGGTCTTATAGTCCAACCCCCTGCTTAGGCAGGAAACCCTATAGCATTTCAGACAAATGGTTGTCCAATCTCTTCTTATAAACTTCCAGTGTTGGAGTACCTACAACTTCTGGAGGCAAGTTGTTCCACTGGTTAATTATTCTAACTGTCAGGAAATTTCTCCTTAGTTCTAGGTTGCGTCTCTCCTTAATTTCTATCTATTACTCCTTGTCCTGCCTTCAGGTGCTTTGGAGAATAGGTTGTTTCCCTCTTCTTTGTGGCAACTCAAATATTGGAAGACTGCTGTCATGCCACCCCTAGTCCTTCTTTTCATTAAACTAGACATACCCAGTTCCTGCAACCGTTCTTTATATGTTTTAGCCTCCAGTCCCCTAATCATCTTGGTTGTAAACAAGAGATAGGTGGGGTCATATCGGATTTTCCACCACCAATCAGAACTGAAGAGGCTTCTTGGATGAAAGTGAAACATCTTCAAGGAAAAACGAAGTCCAGTTGCCTTTGGAAAAAACACCTTTGGGATGATTTGGCTGGGATGATATAAGGACTCCTGCCTTAGGATTCTGATTCTAAGATTTGAAGATGTCAATTTTCATTGCAGCATGATTCCAAAAACCACAACAGGATAAATGCCCACAATCCAGTATTTTCAAGGGACAGGAAAATCCGACATTTGTCAAAATCCAAGCATTGTACAGGTAATTCTCAACGTACGACCCCAGTTGAGCCAAAAACTCATGTTGCTAAATAAGACATTGTGAGTTTTGCCCCAATTTACGACTTTTCTTGCCGCATTTGTTAAGCGAATCACTGCAGTTGTTAAACCAGTAACACAGTTGTTAAGTGAATCTGGCTTCCCCCATTGATTTTATTTGTCAGAAAGTTGCAAAAGGGGATCACGTGACCCCGGGACACTGCGACCGTCATAAGTATGAACCAGTTGCCAAGCATCTGAATTTTGATAACGTGACCAAAGGGATAATGCAACGGTTGTAAGTGTGAAAAACGGTCATGAGTCACTTTTTTCAGTGACGGTCACTAAATGTTGTACGCACTGTTGTAAGGCGAGGACCACCTGTAATCGGTCTACTTAAAGAAAACAAGCATCCCTCAAATCCAGACTGACCTCAAGGGACGTGGTAGACTTAGACTCAATTCGTGTCATTATTATTATTTGTTAAATTTATTTGCCAACTATTTCGCCCCGGGAGCTACTCTCGGCAGCTGTGGTCCACTGGCAGCCTGCGGAGCTGGCAGCGGAGTCGGACAGTGAGGAGGCTGGGGAGGACCATGGGCCAGTCCTGGAGTTTGGGGAAGGCCCAGACGAGGGCTCTGCGTTGGAGGCAGAGATGGGGCCAGGGCCATCTGGGAGCAATGCACGGACTCCGGAGCCTCCAGAGAGAGGCAGAGGAACAGGAGGAGCCTGTTCCTAGTGCACGCATGCGAAGAGCTGCCAGAAGGCAAGAGCAGCTAAAGCAAAAAGGACGACTTGGGAGTAAGGCCAGGAGATGATTGACCCCTCCCTTTAAGAAGGCTTAAAAGAGCAGCAATGGCTCTTAGGATCTTTGTAGGAAAGCAAAATTGCTACATTTTGTTTCTTGTTGGCTTCTCTGGCTTCTGAACTTTTGCCAAGAAAAGCCTTTGGCAGGGTGCCAAATAAGACAAAGGTTGGTGATAAGGCCGAAGGACTGTTTATGAAGGATTTGTTTTGGACTAAACTGAGAATGAAGTAATTCTCAACTGTTCTAATAAAATAAGTTTGTTTAGGACTGATTGTGTCTGGTCATAACTACTTGGGCCTAGGTCACAACAGCAGCTCACAATAATAAAAAGGAAGAAATATAAAAAATAAACCGAAGTGAAACACTAGAATGATAAAATCAACAATAAACAATGACAAAGAAATAGTGCATCAATCTGATCACCAAAAGGATGGATGGGTGGAGAGCAGAGACCAAGTCGGGGAAGGTGAAATTATTGTTTTCTTGTCTGTAACACGAACGTTGAATGGCACTGCCACCAACCAAGTTATTTTTTTTTCAATTTCTTAATCCAGTTTCTCAGAGGAGGGCTTCACATAATTTAACAACCGGTTCGCCCCAGCACTAAAGATGTGTGCGGGCACTTCCTTCACTCGTGCGCGTGCCTTCCAGGCATGTGTGTAGCCTTCTGCGCATGGGCTTTGTTAGCACATGTGCTTGCACGTATGTACATGGCTTTACCTTGACTGTGCCTTGCGCACAGTCACTCACGCCCTCGTCACCTCCCGTCTGGACTACTGTAATGCTCTCTACATGGGGCTCCCCTTGAAGAGCACTCGGAGGCTCCAACTGGTCCAGAATGCGGCTGCACGGGTGGTTATGGGCGCACCTCGTTACGCCCATGTAACACCTCTCCTGCGCGAGCTGCACTGGCTCCCAATGGTCTTCCGAATGCAATTCAAGGTGTTGGTTACCACCTTTAAAGCGCTCCATGGCATAGGACCAGGATATCTACGGGACCGCCTTCTGCCACCAACAGCCTCCCACCGACCAGTTCGCTCCCACAGAGAGGGACTCCTCAGGGTGCAGTTGGCCAAGTTATGTCGGCTGGTGACACCCAGGACAGCCTTCTCTGTCGGAGCCCCAGCCCTGTGGAACGAATTGCCCCCGGATATTCATAACATCTCTGATCTCGGGTCTTTCGCTGTGCCCTCAAGACCCTACTGTTCCGACAGGCGGGGCTGTCTAACTGAATGATTTTAAATTGGGTTTTAACTTTGGGTTTTAAAATTCGGCCAAAACTATTTAATGATTTTAATTAATTTTAACTATGATATTGTATATTTATGTTTTTTAATTTGGCTGTACACCGCCCCGAGTCCTTCGGGAGGAGGGCGGTATATAAATAAATTATTATTATTATTATTATTATTATTATTATTATTATTACTACTACTACTACTACTACTACTACTTACTACTACTACTACTACTACTACTATTTAAAAACACAGCTAAATAGGATGGCATAGCGCTCGGTTCACCAGAACTGGTACGAACCGGCTGGATCCCACCCCTGCAGTTTTTGCTTCTAGGATTCCCTGGTAGTCTCTTATTAAATTACTAGCCAAATCTAATTCTATCAAATTTTCGAGAGCTGTCAACATGAATTCATGGCTGGCTTTTACATCAGTGACCACTGTAGCATCCCCATGGTCACATGATCAAAATTCAGATCCTTGCAGCATCCTTGCAGTGACATTATCAAAATTCAAATGCTTGGCAACTGACTTGTACTTATGACGGTTGCAGTGTCCCGGGGTCATGTGATCCTCGTTTGTGACCTTCAGACAAGCAAAATCCATGGGGAAGCCAGGTTCACTTAACAACCATGTGACTCACTTAACAACTGCAGGGAATCGTTTGACAACTCTGGCAAGAAATGTCGTTAAAATGGGGAAAAATTCACTTAACAACTGTCTGGCTTAGCTATGGAAATTTGGGCTCAATTGTGGTCATAAATCCAGGACTATCTGTATTGAAAAAATAAAGAGAACCTTCTGTGGCTAAGCACATGCAATTATAGGAACTTTATTTATAATTTTATAAAGTTTTTATAAAATTTTATGTATAATTTTAGATACGTTTTGGAAGACAATTTTCTTTTTGCTTCTAAACTGCCAAGAAGTTTATAATATAAATTACCATAATATAAATAACAATAATAATAGCCCTATCGATTAATATATAATTGCCCTTACAAAAGACACTGTATTTTCTATTCTGTATAGTTTTATTTTATTCTTATTTATTTATTAAATTTGTATGCCCTCCGTTTAACAATTGAGCAGTTTATCCTTTCAAGTTAACATACTGGATAAAATATCAGGGGATTCTGGGAGTTTAAGTTCCCAAGTTTGAAAAATATTGATTTGAATTATGCAAGACAGGGAATCCTCGACTTACAACCATCCATTTAATGACTATATGAATTTATATTGGAATACATTGGGAAGGAAAAAGGAATTATTACCACTCCTCAGACCTATGGCCATCGCAGCACCTCCTGAAGTGATGTGATTGCCATTCAGGTGCAATTATTCCTTGCAATTCTAGCAAGCAAAACCAGGTTTGTTTAACAACCATGTGGTTTGTTGAACAACTGCAGTGATTTGCTTAACAACCGTGGGAAAAATGTAATAAAATCGGGCATTCCTGCCTTCTACTTTGGTCTTTTTTCTTGCATCATCAAACTGCAGACTTCAGCTCAAAGCAAGCCAGCAGCTTGTCAGGGACACAGGTATTCCTCAACTTACAACTTAACATTCGTTTAGTAGCTAGGGATGAGGGGAGGGGTAGTACGGTAGCATTCAGAGGAGCCCCAAATCCCCACTTGAGTTTCCAGTGTCACTTACACATATTCAGCTGGCGGACGAAACTCGCCATGTTGTGTGCTTGAAATATTTGGGCAGGACTTCCTTGGCAAACTGACTCTGGTCGAAAACATGGAAGCTGGTGCCATTCTGAAAGGAGAAATAAATTAAATAGAGCAAGACAGCATTAGACGCTCCTTCAAAAACCCTCTGTCTCCATCGATGGGAAAAAAATGTCAATTTTTTTTGGCAATAATATGGAAATGATTAACTTGTTGATTTCTTCAGGGTACCGATTTTACTTCCCTACGACCCTGGGAGAAAAAAAAACCCAAATCTAACCCTACTTAATTTTTAGAGGACTTAGTCAAGGTTGGTCAGATGCTAACCTTGCTTTAAAAGATCTCTGTAAGGCCATTTCTCATCCTTGGCAACTTTAAGATGAGATCATGCATTATCTCACTATGTCACGCCCCAAAATTATTTCCAAGAGTCTGGAAAATAAAGTCTTACACTTAGGTAAAAAAAACCCAAAAGTACACATATAGACTGGGTGAACCGAGGCTTAATAGCAGAAACTGTGAGAGGGATCTTGGAGTGTTAGTGGACAACCAGTTAAATATGAGCCAGCAGTGTGAGGCGGCAGCCAAAAAAGCCAATGCAATCCTAAACTGCAATTAACAGAGGGATACAATCAAGATCAAGGGAGCTACTGATACCACTCTACAAAGCCTTAGTAAGGCCACCCCTAGAATCCTGCATCCAGTTTTGGTCGCCACACTATAAAAAAGATGTTGAGACTCTAGAAAAAGTGCAGAGAAGAGAAACCAGGATGATTAGGGGTCTGGAGGCTAAAACATACGATGAACGGTTACAGGAAACGGTTGAGCATGGCTAGTCTAGTGAAGAGAAGGAGCAGGGGAGACAGGATAGCAGCGTTCCAATATTTGAGGGGCTACCACAGAGAGGAAGGGGATCAAGCTATTTTCCAAAGCACCCGAAGGCCGGACAAGGAATAATGGATGGAAACTGAAAAAGGAGAGATTCAACCTGGAAATGAGGAGAAATTTTCTGACAGTGAGAGCAATCAACCGATGGAATAGAAGTTGCCTTCAGAAGTTGTGGGAGCTTCATCACTGGAGGCTTTCAAGAAGAGACTGGACTGCCATCTGTCAGAAATGGTGTAGGGTCTCCTCTTGGGCAGGGAGTTGGACTAGATGACCTACAAGGTCCCTTCCCACTCTGTTAATCTGTAAGCCACTTTTCTCCAGATTCCCAAACTTTTAACTTCTTGGCATATACTCTTCAGACCTCATAAAATAGGGTAGTTTTAACTGATCTTTTTCTTGCACATCAAATAATATAGCTCAAAATATTTATGCAGGTGATGTAGAAACTACAATCATTCAAATCATCTTTGTATGCCCAGGAAAAAAAATTTTTTTCCAGGATTTTTTCTGATTCAAAGTTTTCTGGAAAAGCCATGTTTTCACCAGAGCTGGCATACAGGATGACAGTTCAGCAACTCTGAAAGCTGATAAATTCAAGCGGGATGACAAAGGTTTCCCCAGGCATGGCGGTTATCAGATTGGCCTGCTCGATCAACCCAAGGGCTGAGTCAGTCCGTCATTGTGTGTCAGAGAGTAGCCAGCACATTTGCGAAGCTCACAAGGACAGCCAGGAGGCCACGCCAACTGTGGCTCCCGGCCATTGATCATCTTTTATTGGAGATGACAGCCATCATAGTTGCATTCATTGATAACCTTGGCCCTTCTACAATCCATCTAAACCAGTGTTTGTCAACCTTGGAAGCTTGAAGATGGGTGGACTTCAACTCCCAGAATCCCCCAGCCAGCAGTGCTGGCTGGGGGATTCTGGGAGTTGAAGTCCACCCATCTTCAAGCTTCCAAGGTTGACAAACACTGATCTAAAGGTTAGAATGATAGCAATAGAAATAGCACTTATTTTATTTATTTTTATTTTATTTTTTATTTTTTTCAAATTTCTATACCGTCCTTCTCCTTTCGGACTCAGGGCGGTGAACAGCCAAGTAAAACATGTTATATACAAAAGTTAAAATAGATTTAAAATAATTAAATAATTTGGCCCATAATTTAAAACATTACAATTTAAAACCAATTTCAAATTTTAAAAACCCATCATAAAATCAGGTATATAGGTAAAGAGGTATATAATAAATCTTAGATTTATATACCTCTTTACAGTTCTTTACAGCCCCCTTTAAGCGGTTTACAGAGTCAGCATATTTGCCCCCAACTATCTGGGTCCACATTTTACCAACCTCGGAAGGATGGAAGGTTGAGTCAACCTTGAGTCTTTGGTCAGGATCGAACTGCTGACAGTGGGCAGAATTATCCTGCAGTACTGCACTCTAGTAGGGATGTGGTGGCTCAGTGGCTAAGAGGCTGAGCTTGTCGATCGAAAGGTCGGCAGTTCGCCTGTACAGATCGTCCTTGATTTTACGACCACAACTGAGCCCAACATTTCTGTTGCTAAGCCAAGACACTTAAGTGAGTTTTGGCCCATTTTGCAAGCTTTCTTGCCAGAGTTATTCCCATTCCTTTTATTATTATTATTATTATTATTATTATTATTATTATTATTATTATTGTTGTTGTTGTTGTTGTTATTATTATTATTATATAAAATATATATTATAATTTATAATATAAAATACTTCATAATAAACTAATTATAATTTATAATATAAAAGTGTACAAAATAAAATATAAAATAATACAAAAATACAAAGAAAATAGTAGGGAAATAAAGGAGGGAAAAGGGAAGGGAAAAACGTAGGGAAAAATGGAAAAGAGAAAGGAAAGGCATTGACTTCCAACTGGTTTTACTTTTACATAGTAGTATAAACTAGCCTAAGAGGGACACGGTGGCTCAGTGGCTAAGACGCTGAGCTTGTCGATCGAAAGGCAGGCAGTTCGGCGGTTCAAAAACCTAGTGCTGCGTAACAGGGTGAGCTCCCATGCCTTGTCCCAGTTTCTGCCAACCTAGCAGTTCAAAAGCACGTAAAAAATGCAAGTAGAAAAATAGGGACCACCTATGGGAAGGTAACAGCGTTCTGTGCGTCTTTGGCTTTGAGTCATGCTGGCCACATGACTACGGAGACGTCTTCAGACAGCGCTGGCTTAGAAATGGAGATGAGCACCGCCCCTAGAGGTGGGAACGACTAGCGCCGTTTTTACCCTCCCCAGGCTCCTAGAAAGCCTCTGGAGCCTGGGGAGGACAAAAAACAGAACTTCCAGTCCCACCGAAAGTCGGGAAATGGGCCGTTTCTGGCCTCTGGAGGGCCTTGGGAGGGAGGCCGTTTTCGCCCTCCCCAGGCTCCAAGAAAGCCTCTGGAGCCTGGGGAGGGCAAAAAGCCTGCCTACCGGGCACACCGTGCCATCACGGAGGCACCCACAATTCTTTGTTCCAATCTCGAAGCCCCTTTTTTGGGGGGGGGGGGGGGGAGGAGTTTTTGGAGAGTGCCAGGTGCAGTTCCCCAATTCAATTTTTGAACTTCATGAACCTCTGCCCTCCACATACCTGTGTGGTAAGTGATTGTCAAGAAGCATCTTGCCTCCCAGGTCAGATGTTTTGACAACAGGGAATTGAACGCTGTAGGTAATAACTGGGGCTCCAGGTGGCCTTTTTCCTCTTGGAGGGGTAGTCCCATAGGTGCTTCAGCTAGAACTGAAAAATCTTCTTGGATGAGAAGCAAAATGTTTTCAAAGAAAAAAACCAAGGAAGTCCAGTTGCCTTTTGGAAAGACACCTTTGGACCAACCATGACCTGGATGATTGAGAATCTCCATAGACACTTGAGACAGATGGCCTTTCCTCCACTTGAGTGGACACCAGGAGCTCTTGCCCAAATAGAAGAACCTGTGAAACCACAGGGTCAGGTAGTGTATTCCAGGCATTGACCACTCTGCTGCTGAAGTCATATTTTCTGCAATCAAGTTTGGAGCAGTTTACCTTGAGTTTGTATCTATTGCGTGCTTGGGTATTGTTGTGGTTGAAGTTGAAGTAGTCATTGACAGGTAGGACGTTGTAGCAGATAATTTTGTGTAATACGTTTAGGTCAGACTGAAGGCGGCGTATTTCTAAATTGTCCAAGCCCAAAATTTCAAGCCTGGTGGCATAAGGTATTTTATTGCAGGTAGAGGAATGGAGGACTCTTCTCGTGAAATATTTCTGGATTCGCTCAATCGTATTAATGTCCGATATGCAGTGCGGGTTCCAGGCAGGCCAGCTGTATTCGAGAATTGGTCTAGCAAAGGTTTTGTATGCCCTAGTTAGCAGTACAGTATTACCGGAGAAGAAGCTTCGCAAGATTAGGTTAACAAATCTTAATGCCTTTTTGGCAATGTTGTTACAGTGAGCTCTGGCCTTAGGACCACAGTTGTAACTAGAATTTCCACTGGCAAGTTTTTTTTTTTTATATATATGCCGCCCTTCTCCGGAGACTCAGGGCGGCTTACAAGGCCTTAAGCAAAAGCCTTCATACTTTTGTATATTTTATACAAAGTCAGCTTATTGCCCCCACAAACCGGGTCCTCATTTTACCTACCTTAGAAAGGATGGAAGGCTGAGTCAACCTTGAGCCTGGCGAGATTTGAATTTACTTTAATTGCAGACAGCTGGTGTTAAATTACAGTGCCTTTGTCTGCAGAGCTATCCAGGCTCTGGATGTTAAAGTGAATGTTAAATGAGCTATGCCTGATTTTATGTTTTTTTTCCCCACGGTTGTTAAGCGAATCATTCCAGTTGTTAAGCGAATTATGCCCTGACGAGCAAATTTGGCTTCTGCCAATGGAGATTACTTGTTAGAAACTGGTTGGGAAGGTTGCAGATTAGGTGACCCTGGGATACTGCCAAGCACCCAAATTTTGATCACCTGATTGCAGGAACGCCACAATGGTTGTAAGTGTGAGGTTCCGTCGTAAATAACTTTTTTCAGTGCCATTCTAACTTCAAATGATGGCTAAATGAATGGTTGTAGGTCAAAGGCTACAGGTACTGTTAGATATGTGGACTTCGGGCAGTGGTGGGATTCAGCCAGTTCGGACCGGTTAGGGGGAAACAGATGTTAATTTTAATCTGGTTCGCTGAACCGGTAGTTGCAAGGAC